CAAACAAAACAAAAGCCATTTTCAACCCCCCCCCCCCCCCCCCACCGCTTTGCATTTTCGGTCCAGAATTAAAGGTGTCTGAAATACAAGGGGAGAACGACCCAGCTGCAGCAGGAAGGGGGCTGAGCCCAGAGCCCGCCCGCCACCCCCACCAAGAGCCAGCGAGACCACCGGCATGGCTCGGCCGGCCCCAGCTCTCCTCCCAGCCCTTTCCCCACATCCCATGGAGGAAGAGGATGCGGAGCATCCGCACCAGGGAGATGGAACAGGCACAGCTATGAGAGGGTCCTGCCCACCTCCCCCCAGCAGTGGCCGATGCCCCATGGTGTCTTTGGAGGGCATGTTTGTGCCCTCTTGCTCAGAGGGAGCTCCCTGGAAATCCATGCTCACTCTCATGGATTTTCCTCTGACTGATCCCTTCAGCGGCCCCAGGAGAGCAGCGGACTCTGCTGCTTCCCTGGGCATGGACACTGAGAGGCTGCTTGCCGCAGAGACGCGATTCACTGTTTGTTACCCCAGAGAGCACACAGATCAGACCCCAGCCCAGAGGAGAGAGGAGTCCACAGCACAGTCACAGGCCCGACGGCTCAGACTAGAGAGGACAGGCTGTGCCAGGGGAGCGGGAGCACAGGGATCCCCGACAGGCACTCCCAGGCCCCCTCTGCTCTGCTGAGCACCAACATTTCCACCGACTCCGGATGCAGCACAGCCCCCTCCCTCAAACATCCTCTCCTTCCAGCACACAGCAGTGCCCCGGTTTGCTCATGTCCCCCCAGCCGTCCTTCCAGGGCCGTGCCTCCCTCCCTGAGGGCCACAGCCACTCTGTCGTGCTGGCCCTCTCAGGGGGAGGCAAGTCTCAAGCAGAAGGCAGAGCTTACCCGGGGGGCAGAGCATCCAGGGCTAGCACCGCTGCCCGGGCCGGCGGGGCGCTGGAGCCAGAGGCTGCCTCCTCTGCCTCTCCAGTGGTGGGCAGGGCAGGAAGGGCAGGAGCGACGGAGCTGTCAGCCACGCTCAACGCCGTCACAGTCGGTACAGTTGCTCCTGCTGCTGGCCTTTCCTCTTCGATGTCCACAGCACCCGCTGTGTCTCCATTCACTGAAAAGGCAGAGGGCAGAGACGTTAGCACCCAGAAAGGGTAATGGGGGGCCCGGCTGATCTACCACACCCACGCAGCCCTGGAAGCAGAGCACGTGGTGGGTGGCAGCCGCTACCACCCAAGCACGGGGCTCACGGGGCTCCCAGCCTGCAGCAAAGGCAGCACCTCCTTCCCCCAGCAGTCAGATCCCTCTATGAACCACTGCCGCTGCCTTTTGTCCCCAGACAAAAGCAGAGGGTACTTTGCATTTGTGCTCAGTATCTCTTCTGCCGCTTGCAAACATGCTGCGTGCCTGATGGGAATTCAGGTAACGAGCAGGAGCTCAGAAACGGCTGGCGCAGCGTGTGTCCCCCCAGGCAGAGGGGAGCCCAGGCTCAGCAACTCCGCTGCTGCACTGGGAAGAGCTAAATGTTGTTGGATTCCACTGAACTTCTGGAAAAGGAAGGGGAAGAGACAGAGCAAAGGAAAATTACAAAGAAAACTGATGAGGAGGAAAATGCAGAGCAAAAAAAAAAAATGAAAGGGAATTTGTTTGTCGAATATTTATTAGATAGCCAAAAAACCCTGAGACTTGGCAGTCCAGCAGAGGATAACTTTCGCTACAAGACATCCTGGCTTCAGTGGCAAAGCAAAAGCATTAAAAACAAACCAGCAACAAGTAACAAAGAAGTAAGGGATGCAGACAGAGCTCCACAAGTTAGAGTTGAGAAATGTAGAAAACTGTAAGGGAAACGTAGAAAATCTGTGTCTACAAGCCCAAATATTTAGAAGTACCGTAGGAAAAAAACCTCACAACAGTATAAACCCTCCCAGACGGCAGACTGAAGACATACAGACACACTGTAGAAGCAGCAGACTGCTCGGGACACTTTTGCTTTGTGGCTGGAATGAAGCAGGACAGCATCCTCCAGCACCGGAGGAATCTTGTACACAGCATCAGCAACTAGAGGAGCCCCTCAGGCAGCATCTACGGGCGATGAAGGTCAGCAGGCTCACCACAACTTCCACCAGAGTCCTGCAAGACTCGGGTGAGGAGTCTCTGACTGCTACTCATGCCTAGCAAGCCTTGGAAAGGGCACTTTTAGAAGCTTCAAACGCATTGTGCCAATCTTCAAAGGGAACCTGCAGAGTGACCCAGATAACGCCGCTGTGATTGGTTTGGTCTCAGCCCTGGACGAAACAGGGAAAAGCTGATCCAAAGTTCACGTGATAAGGAAGGCTCCCGGCGGAACACAGCTAGGGCTAAGAAACGTGGCTGGGGACAAAAAGTACCATGAAATCATCTCCTTTTATTGTCAGATGAAATTACAGCTGTGAGTGACAAATGTAATGGGGACGTTCTTGCAACAGTCTGCTCAAAAAACATGATAATCTCACCAAAATGTACTAAACTGAGGAGGAAGAGGATGGTTTCTAGAGGCATTCCACGGAGCACAAGACAGGGTGTCCAGCCCTAATCCCAGCCACCTGAAACACTCATCTCCCCATCCTGAAGTGTAAATCATCACCGACAGGACTTGCGGGAGACACGGAGGTCGGTGAGCGGTAAACAGCGACAAGGATGGCACAGTCATAAAGCCACTGGGGAGGCTGGGGCCGGGCCAGTAAAACACGTTCTAAATAAACCAAAGCCAAGGAGTCAAGTTGTACTTGCAGAAACAAAAACTCCGTCCACAGCCCGAGGGAGCGTCCCCCTGCACAGCGAGGACGCTAGGAAGGGCTGGGTGGGCACAGGGGACACCGCGCAGCGTTCGCTCCTGGTACAGCACTGCACCGAACAGGGCAGAGACGAGCCACAGCCCTGGGGAGGGGAGCACAGACAGGAGTGACAGCTGAAAGGCAGCATTTCACGTCAGCCTTCCGCTCCCCCATCTCCCTCCCCAAATGGGTTTTGGCAAAATCGAAATTGCATTGCTCCAGGTTTTTCCAATGAAATGGAAAAAGAGAAAAAAAAAAATCTTCCTTTTGGGTTGAACGAAATATTTCCTTCTAACCGAAACAAAGCACTCTGCTTCTCCTTCCAGGTCTCTGATAAAAGCAAAAGAAAAGACGGCACTGCCTGCAAAAGCAGTGCAGGGGAGCGGGAGATGCCGTACTGCTCGGCCAGCTCCACGGAGCCAGAGAAGGAAAACAGCTAAACTGCTTGTAGCTTCATAGTCAGGCACTCAGCCGGTCCCCATCCCCGCTCTACAAGGTATTTATGGCTTGGTGGACAAAGCCAAGAAAAGACAAGAGAAACCCTTCCAGAAATACCCTCTGGCACAAGAATCAGCCCCCTTTTGAGAGGTGGGGTTGTGCCTTCTCTGGTGCTCGACAAGGCAGCTGCTCCTCCCCGTGTCGGTGGGCAAAGAGCTCAAAACATTTTCGCTGAAGACTGATGGGCAAATTCAGCTGAACATTGCCAACCCTGAAACAAGTCCACTCGGCTGTGATAATGGTCCTCCTTGCTGTGGCATCAGTGACATTGCTGCCCAAGTACCCTTTTAAAAACTTGGAGCTGGATGCAGTATTTTTTGTCAGGGAGACTTGAGAGAGGAGCCACAGAAATTATTCACGACAGGCAGAACAGATCCTACCAGTGCACTCTGCAGAGCTGCCCAACTTATCAAAAGTAAAATAAATAAAAACCAATCAATTCACAGGGAGGAAATTCCCAGGCACTACAAGATCCGTTATCTCGGCAGAAATTCATTTTCTCCCACAAAACGCAGCCCCGAGCGCTGCCCCCCATCACCTCCCACGAGCACTGGTTCACCTGTGCCATTGGCCGTGCCATTGGCCATGCCGTTGGCCATGCTGGCATGCTGTGTGCTCTTGGCCTGCTGACGGTGCCGGCTCCTGGCGCTGGGACTTTGCTCTCCACTCCCCGTGTTTTGCCTGGCCGCTCCAGCCACATGTCGGTGCGTCCTGCAAGGGAAAGAAACACGGGAGGTGAGACACACACCACTGGCCTCGCAAAGAAAACCCCGCTCCTGCCCTTTTGCCTCCGTCTTGTGCTACTTCTCCCCCAGCACAGCCATCGGTCGTCCCTGAGAACGGCCAGGGTGCAGCCACGTGCCTCTGCTCCTCCGGCAGAGCCCCACACTTCACGCTGCTTACTCAGACCTGCCGGTGGCAGAGTCCCATGGAGGAGTAACCTGGGTGCCAAAGACCTTGCTTTTGTTTGCGGGTGCTCACCCCATCTGCCTCACACACTGAGGAACAGCCCCAGGTACTCATGGCCAGAAACCTGCTCGCGGCACCGAGCCAGCACAGCCCCCGGCAGTTTGCTCCTTCCTCCCCTGCAATAAAGGTCCCAGGAGAGATCCCGCGCCAGCGCCAGCTCCTGCACCGCAGTGCTGCGTCAGGCGCCGGTGGGAACCCTCACCGTGCCTCCCGCCCGGCTGCAAGCTTTGCACAAAAGCAGGTGAGGAAGGCGCACGTGTTACCGCTGCCGGGACAGCTGGGACAGCCGTGGCCTCTAGCTAAGGAGGGAACAAGCGGCTGGGAAAGATGGGAGCTTAAATCGTGGCACAGGTTGCGACCGGCTCAGATGCGGCTGCTCCATCTCTCAGGGGGGTCTCCTCTTTGTGGCACGC